TCACTGTGCTTAAGAGTTTGGTTTGGATATTCTTAAGGTGATGGGTTTCTGTATGTGTCAGACATCCATCTTCCAAAAAAACCCACAAATAATCTCTTGTGTTTCAATCACTTGACTCACTATTAATCTGTGTAGTCTGCTCCAGGGGAGAGGTGCCTGCTGTGTGTGTGCAGGGGGAGGAATGACATTGTTAGCCCACATCTTCTGTCGTTCGTGCTGGTCCAGCAATTTTTCTCATTTTTGTGTTTTGACAGTACTTTCTCCCAACTGGTGTCAAACTATTTTTCTCACACTGTGGCTTGTCATCTTTCACATACCCCATAGAGCTAAAGCGCAGAACCTCATTTGTTGAGAGCAAATTAAAGAATGAAAAATTTTCAACAGTATAATGCAAAAAATAGTGACAACTATTGAGGCACCCTAATCTGAGTTGGTACAGTATTTATGGCAGTAAATATGGGTGATAACTTCAAGCCATTCTGTTGAATTTAAATTGGCAAGAACCTATCTATCTGCTTAGGGCATTGAGAAATGACATTCAGCTCATTGCCAGATTTGTGTATAGATGAACATTTATTTCAGAAGTGTAGCCTCTTTGTACTAATAACAACAACAACAACAACAAGATTACATTTGTATAGCGCCTTTCACGTCGGGAGGAGGTCCCAATGCACTGGACAAAGGCAATTAAGATCAGGGGAATATTATTTTACCCATTATGACTGACAGACGTTGCATGACCATTCCATACTCTAGAATCTTTCATAGATATCTGCTCATTGTGCTCTGTTAGATACTTTTTTGCCAAATCTCATAACATTATATATCTCCCTATTAAACTACATCTGCCTCTTTCCTCCATAGATTCCAACCTTCTCTGGAATTTGTGCACATTGATCCTAGTTTAGAGTCATCTATAAATTATTGCCATCTATGATTGCAGTCATAAATAGTCTACAAAAATAATAAACAATTTGGTGTCACCATTGACCCCTGTGCTATACTAATCATCAACTAACTGTCTCCAAACCAGATGCACTTCCAGTCATTGCTTTCTACTAACTAACCATCATTAATCTAGTTAAATGCATGTACATTATGCGGTTACCTTTTATGTGAAAACTCAATAACCAGGTTTCAACCGTGTAACACAATAAAGGTTTCTATTTTTCACCTGTAACTGTATCTGTAGATTATGCTGTTTCATAATCTAGAGTCAGCATATAGTTGAGCTGAATCTGAACTGTTATCTATTAATCCAAGTTGCTTTGCTTTGCTAATCCAGCGCCTTGGGATGTCCTCCCCACGTGAAAGACGCTCGATAAATACAATATTGTTGTTGTTATTGTTAGCTCTAGCCTCCACATTATTATTCATGCCTCTTATGAGAGGTGTTATGTGGTTTATTTCTCGAATTCAGTGTTCACTAATAAAAAAGTAAAATTTTTATTGTATTTGACTTGGGTTTAGTTGGACCAAAATCAGGGCTTATCACCACCTGTGTTGCTTTGATCAGGGTTGGATGAAACCAGGAGGTACCTCTCTGGGTTCAGGATTTCATTTATCCTTTGGGTCCATTTGGGACTTAGTGTGTGGGGATTGTGACCAAATGAGTTATTTAATTGATAATGTGAAGTGTAACTCAGCCAGGAGATTTACGTAATGGTTGAGGGTAACAGTCTGGTAGCCCAACTATCATGGCCGGAAGTTTCTCTGTTGGAAAATGCCACCGGGGGTGACTTGTACAAACTTGATGGCTGTCTATTTGAGTATTGAATGGGGGGTGCAGTTCCAAGTCTCTTAATGTTGCGTGGAATAATGGCCATTGGTAGATGATCAGATGTATTGTTTTTATGCTTTGCTTGCCAGCTACTGTGTTTTGTTGCAGTCCTCTCTGAAGATTAATGCATTGACTGAACTGCAGATGCAGCCTGAACTACATAGTGCAGCCTGAACTACAGATATGCCATCTGTAGCTAGACTCGAGTAGTAGAGATAGGTGTACTTCTTTATTAAAGCACTAGTGTGAATTGCATTCAAACCCCACAAAGCTCTTATTAGCTGTTTGCCAAGCATGCTTCTAACAGTAAATTCATGTACAGCCTGCAATCTAGACACTGATAGCAGGCAGGTATATAGTGCCAGCAATTTACAAGTCCTTCACAATCATCATAGCAACCTAGGATTGGAGAGTTTACTCAGTAAAACCCTGTGTATTATACAGTTTACAGAAGAGACTTACCCAGTAATACAGTGTGTTATTATTAACACACAGGAATATGTCCAATAATGCATGGTGTGTAACATGCACAGGAATGTTATACTCAGTAATATCTGACACAGTATGTTATTCAATGATACACATGGTGTTCTATAATAAAAATAGTATAAAATATCGCCAAAAACACTTGACTCTGCTCCAACCAGTATTTGTATATGAAATAGAGTATTTGGTTTGTTTACTCAGAGCCTAACTTGTTTTGGCACAATTTGCATATACCTTGTAAGGGCAATGGTGGCACACACCCATAAAGTCCAGGAGCAGCAAGAGAAGAAACTGGGGTGAGTGAGCTGGGAACTGATTGTCTGAGAATGGGATATGCCTGGCACTCACTTTGGTGTGGTAGTTGATGCACTTCTGCAGGAATATTCTACAATGCTACAAACACTTCTGAGCCCACCCAGAAGATACTACCTGTCAGAGCCAGTGAATTGAGGGATTGTCCCCAAAGACTGAACAAGGCAGCGCATCAAAGAATCGCATTCTTCTCTTAAATGTTTGTCTAATTGTCAACAGTGGTAAGAGTTTTCTGCTGGAGCCATTTCCTCCATGTGCCTTGGGCTGACTGTGGGCGAAGCGCACACGCCTTCTGCTCAGCTGAATGCTTTGAATAACCTGGGAGGGAGCATAGCTCATTCATACAAAGTCTGCAGCTGCCAAGATGCCGAAGGGCGTGATACAGGGTCATCAGCTTCTCCTAAACTAATGTTTTTAATGGTGCTGCCAATGGGATTAATATTCAGTGCAGAGCTCAGGCATGGTTAGTCCTGTCTGAAAATCATCAGGGTCTTACAAATTGTCTTGAAGTGAATGGCCGATTTATCTGGGATTATACTTTGAACAGTGTCATGGAAACTTTAACATCTATTAGAACAACCTTAATATTCATCTCTAATAATGCATTGTTCACAAGGTTCTGCCCTGAAATGTCAGTGAGCTCAAGTCCCAATGTGACTGAGCCAGGCTGACACTTTTAAGACTTGAACAAATGTCACTTTTAGTGTTAAATTTATCTACAATCTACACATGGTCACACCACTTTACATTATATCATGTGAAGCGCTTTGAGACATATTGACAATCTGATAAGGTGCTATATCAAATGCAAATATTATTGATAACATTTTGTTATAAAATAGAAACAAAAACACTGTATTGTAACAGGAAGTCAGAATTAGTGATTCTTACCAATTGGAAGTGCATCACTCCGACTTATTGCAACTCCACTTTGAAAGTAAATCTCATTAGAGCCAAATTCCGGAGGCCAGTGTGATACATATCTAGTTACTAACAGGAATCATTAATAATTGGGGGTCACAATTTGCAACTTCCTTTTTTGAGCAGCGTGTTTTAGACACTACCATGCAACCACCTTGGCCATTGTGACCATACTATCCAGGAGACGCAGAGGAACCAGTGACTGTCACTCTTAATTAGACAATTCAGAGCGATGTAATTTGATATACTTAATTGCAATATTCTCTTAACCTTTTCAAAATGAGTTAATTAGATTTTAAATTGGACACACTAAATTGGAAAATAAATGTTGCACAGTTTCTGTTTCAATTACTTTAATTTAAATGTGAACCTCCTGTCTCCAAACAATTGAAATTCAATGGACAGATACTCCTCAGATATGGAGACCCAGCAGAAAATAAGATTCATTTTATTATTCCCTCCACACAGCAGAGAAAAGCTTGAAGTTGCATGATTCCCAGTAAATGAAAGTGGTCGCTCAGTGTCTGAGAAGGGTGTGTATACAAGTGCATATTTGTCCAAGCTTGCGTTTGTGTGCATATGTTCAATTACTGTATGTCAGCATGTTATGTATGCACATGTATGGTTGTGTATACATGTTCAATTGCGCATGTGTGAGCATGTTTGATGTCTTTATGTGTGCAAATTGGTACTACTAGTAATAAATAATAATCCATACGTTTGACACAGCCTTCAAGTCGCGAGCCTGTCTCAAAGCACTTCACGGTGCTGTAAAGTGGAGTGACTGTATTTTTTGTGGCCGAATGCATATATACATATGCATTAGTGCAAATGTGAGAGTTTGATTTCAATCTAAAAAGATTATAGTTCGGTTCTATGTTTGTTCCCTACATCTGCACTGTTCCCGTTGTGTTGATTACAATATGAGGGTGAGAGGCTTGTGTTACCTGGGAAACCAAAGGCTTACCAAGGATCTCAGCGTCTCACTAACAGCAGTTTCTACTTTCAAACATAGGAACAGAGTAGATCAGATAAATAACATTCAACCCAGCCAACCGTGACCAGATTATGTCGTGGCTTTAACTTCATTATTACACAATAAGATTAATTTCGCTGTGCCTTACATGTTTCCATTTCTTCCATCACAGGTTTGCGCATCCAATCAATTGAAGTGAGATCACAAAATAATGGTTGCCTGAATGAGGGGTGTGGAATCATCCGGATCTGAAACGACTGGACAAGCCTCTGGTTTGAATATCATCGATTGGTTTGCATATGTGACATGGATTAATGGCGGAACAGGAGTTTGTATAAGGAGCCAGGCGCAGTACCCTCTGGATCTATGGTCTATTGACAAGAGGTGGTCGGAATTTACCTTGGGGAAAACCCAATGATGTTATCACATACCATGTTTCTTTACAAAAGGTTGAATTGCCGAGCATCCTTTTCACGGCACACATCCAACTCCATCCTATACGTGGACTTCAGCATTCCCCTCTGGATATTCTGCTTCGCTGTAAGAGTCATGGTTCTGGATGGTCAGATTAATTATCCAACTGTGAATACGAATTACGGTAAACTGCGGGGCATTCGGGTTCCTCTGCCGAGTGAGATACTAGGACCAGTGGATCAGTACCTGGGTGTTCCGTATGCTGGGGCTCCAATTGGAGAGAAGCGGTTCCAACCTCCAGAACCTCCATCCTCTTGGTCTGGGATTCGTAATGTGACTCACTTCTCTCCCGTCTGCCCACAAAACATTCACGGCATGGCTCCAGCTATTATGCTGCCGATCTGGTTCACCGCCAATCTGGATATTGTGGCTGCTTATATTCAGGATCAGAATGAAGATTGTTTGTACTTAAACATCTATGTACCCACTGAGGATGGTGAGTCCGCGTGGGACAAACAAATGCTTCCTTTGTCTGGGTCTCTGTCCCGGGTTTGTCTGTCTGTCTGTTGCTGTTTAAGCATGACGTAGCCCCCTTCCTACCAGTTTTCCCAATCCTCCCCCTGCCCCGCACGCCAGTGTTGTCGCTTATCCTTGCCTTGACTTCTCCATCTCTTCCTGTCTACGGCACTGTTATGGTTTCCTCTTCTGTTCTTTGCCCCACAGTCTGACAGCCAAAGCTAAGCATCACTGCAGTAAATCGGAAGCCAGATGCATCGCCCACAGGGTTAATCTGGAGTGTTTGGGGTTCATACTGTAATGGCATATGTTGGGAGGGGTATGAAAGCTGATTGCAGAAATATTCTCTCAGGACATGGCAGGGTTGTGCTACTGGAGTGTCTGAAGGAAACCCAAACCCAATCCACAACATTAGGCATTCTTTAGTATTCTAGGATAATTTGGTTGCATTCAGTGAAGTGGGGAAAGACTGCAAATAGGGTTACTAGGAATTTCTATGCTAAATAACTTTCTCATTTAGGACTTTTAGGTTTTGCAACAAATTACTTATTGTCCAAGTTCGATTCTCAACATCCCACAGAGGAGGAATGGACACGCCTCGAGTCCAACCTATGTAGATCAACTCAAAATAGTAGGACGCCATGTGGAGACATCATGCCTCATTGTGTTTCTAGGTCCAGCGTGTCTGGAATCGTAAGGTTGCCACCTTCTGCAATGGTTTGAAACTAAGCCACGAAGTGGGACCTCGTCATCTTCAGTTTAGCTACTGATGCTTTCTTACCCTGGTCAGGCAAGCTGAGCCCCTCTTTATTGGCTATTTCCCCTAACACACTGTGCACTCTTCACCCTCTTCACGTATTATTGCCCCTAGTCACTCTTAACTTCAACCCCTCTTCCTGTTTCTTTTTACCCCCCACCCCCCGCCCGAATACTCACTCTTCATTAGACATCTGCGGTTAATTTATTCCCATTCTCAGGTTTGTCTCTCCCTTCATTCTTGGGGCAGTGAATTGTCCCTGGACATTACTCCCCTTCCCCCAGCAGGTGACCTCTGGCTGTTTTGGTGGATTCAGTTCCCCTTTGGTCACAAATTGCTGCACTGAGTGTTACTGACCCGATATCACCCACTTGAACCAATGAATTGATGTATCAGAGCTTAACTTAGCATTGTGCGAGTCTAGTATCACCTTTCCAGCACAATCCATGTGGAATGATGCCAGATCTGTGCTGTGGGCTCTGACATTGGAGTAGGCTGCCACAGTATATTTAAAATTAATAGTGAATCGCCAATGGCAAATATAGTGATCTATTTGGTTTCATAATGGCACAAAATGATAAAGATTACTTTTTCTTATCAACCTGTACGATGGACCTGTCACAGAAGTGTCACATAGTGTCACAGAAGAAGCTGGGGCTGTGCAGAATCAGGGGTAAGTAGCTGCCTTTCTGCCTGGGCTGACCAAAGCAGATCAGTTACCATTCAGGCTGTTGGGCAGCAACATGGAAGCAGCTGAAACATTGGGTCTGGTCTGGGAGTCCATCCTTCGAGCCATGACTTGTAATTAGCTGACCTTGATAAATGAATGCTATGATGGGGGTTGGGGGCAAGGAACAAGGCAGATTGTTCAAACATTGTAAGGTATTTTGGGAAGTGCTTTAAAATATAAATTATGATTGAAGGGGAAAATGACAGGACATCAAGCACGTCGCCTGTTCAGTAAACGCACTGCTAATTTCTACAGTGAAGTTGGAGCAGGTTGAGTCTTTAATGGAACATTCCAGGGACTGTAAAGACTTGATATTGACATTACAGAAGTATTCAGAGGCTGGCATTGGGAGCTCACTTGAGGCAGTGTAGTGTGCAAAATAGCTTATCTGACAGTGTCATGTGTAAAGTAGTGTCACCAATGGCAGTGTGCAAAATAGTGTAACTGATAGCATCATGTAAAATAGTGCCACTACAGCATCGTGTGTCCAATAGAGCCACTGTAGTGTGCTGACATTTCAGTGTGTAAATAGTGCACCTTACAGTTACGTGGAGAGTGTAGTCTGTAAATAGTGTAACGTGTGGTGTGTAACATTGTGTTAAACTGTATAATCTACAAGAGTAGCCATCAGTTATTTTGTGAAGTCGTACAACAGTGTATAACTGTACAACCAACAGTGTAAAATAGTGTAGCTTAGTGTATGTTCAGTGCAGTGTGTTAAAATAAATAGTGTAATTTATAGTGTAATTAAGGGATAAAATAGTGCAAATTACAGTGAACTCAGAAATTACTGAGTACTTAAACAGACTGAGGCAGCATCAGAGGGAATTCTCATCTGCTGGATTCTCATGTTTCACAATAATGTTTCGTCCACACACACACACACACACATTTTCTCTTCCCCCACCCCTGAGATTTGCCTAGGACACTCTGCAAACTTTCTTGCACTCTTTTCCATAAAAGGAATTGCGTTGTCATCCTCTGCTTGTTTATTGCGGCACTCAGTGGTGGTACCTTAGGAACTTTGCCGGCAGAGATCGTGCCCTGGGAATACTGAATATTTCTGCAATAGCAGCTCCTGTGTCCTGGAGGGAGGGAGGGAGGAGGGATGAGATGTCATTGCATGCTCCTGCTGTGTCTGACGGAGTCTCGTGTTATTTTGGAGTATTTTATTCATTTTACAGTAAAAAGAATATCGAAGGAATGCACCAGAAAACCAAACAAGAAAATATGTAGAAAAGGAGGTAGGTAGCACCTTCGTACGGGAGGCACGGAGTGAGTATGTCCTCACACAGAGCCGATCATCGCATTGGCAACTCGCTGAGTGAAGTGCACAGCCAAGATTGGGCTGCATCTCTTCTCATTGTTAGTGGTTGCAGCATTCAAAAAACAGTCTGTCAGTCTGTGCTAGGTTTAGCACTTTCTACACCTGAACCAGAAACCCAACTAGTCAGTATCTCCACTAACAGTAGGTCCCTGCATCAAAGCCTCCTGCTCTGAGCTAGGACCAGTGGTTTCAAGCTAAGATGTGCATTGCTCTGTGATATATATTTGAGCGGTACTTAATTGCTGGCTTGAGAGCTAGCTCTTTTGTACTGTGCCATGTTGATTCCATTCTTATCTATATTCCAGTCAGGAGGAACCAGTGACTCAGGAAAGCAGACTGACCACCAACCCAAGGTTACTGGGACCTGCTCCTGCAGATATCTCTTGTATGGAGGAAGACATTGCACTGGTGGTGGTGGGGTGGGGAGTTGGTGTATCTATAATATGGAGGCACAGTGTGTTTGCATTGGGGGTAGGGGCATGATGTACCTGTACCAAGAGCGTGGCGTTTGTGCGTGGGAGAGTGAAGCTACCGGGGGGCGGGGGGAAGAGCACAGTGTATCTGCATGGAGGAGAGCATGGTGACGTACACTTGGTGGTGTATCTGCATGGAGGAGAGCATGGTTTTTCCACCATTGGCAGGAGAGCCTTCAGCCACTCTGCCCCCAATCTCTGAAATTCCATCCCCCAGTCACTCCGCCTCTCCCCCTCCTTAGCCTCCTTCAAGTCTCGCCTCAAGACCCTCCTCTTCGACCATGCCATCGGCCACCCCCCTTCCCCTCCCCTCCCTTACCCCCCCAACCCCAGCTTGGGTCTGAAATGCTGTACTCTGTCCAGCGCCTTGGGACGTCCTCCCGACGTGAAAGGCGCTATACAAATGTAATCTTGTCATTGTTGTTGTTGGTGATGTACACTGAGTGGTGTATCTCTATTTAGGCCACTAAAGCCAGCAGCCAGACTCTTTACTTAATGACTTCTTGCTAGAATGAGCTCATTCTGTCCTCTCTTTCCAACCCCCCCACATAACCTTAGTCACTGCCTTGCATTAAATATGTTGACTGAGCCCAATGCAGCTATGGCTCAGCGGCATTTATTACAACTCATGGATTGATGTGATATTGCGATCATTTGAAGAAGATAAACATGGGACAAGAAAAGCGTCTAAAATAAAATATTCGCAAACTGGATTTGTCACATTAATTGTAAATGATTTGTGATATTTAAAAGAAAACCAAAAGCTGGCTTGTATGTTGAAAGTCAGTTGGAACCCAAAAGGTTGGTGTTTGCTTTTGGTCTTTTGTCGACCTCTTGGACCTGCTCACAATCCCATTTCTGGTTTGTGAATAATGTGTTTGTTACCGCAGTGGGTGTGCTAGTACCAGCAGACGCCTCTTGTGCTGTAATTTCTAGAATTCTTCGAAGTGGGATCTCGGTACTGTATTCTCACTGGCTGTCACATGCCTGTTGTGCACGGACCTGCAGCCAAACCAATGCTGGCCAGCGTATCTCACAGATAGAGAGAATAGGATGGATTCTAAGTATCGACCTGGCTCAGTTAGGAGAACTCTCAGCTCTTAATAATAAGGTTGTGGGTTCAAGCATAGTCTAGCCTAACACTTTGAACTGACATAGTCTAGCCTAACACTCCAGGGCTGTGCTGGGAGCGTACAGAGGTGCCGTGCTTTGGATGAGATGTGGCATCAAGGTACCATCTGACATTGGCACTACTTGAAAAGGTGAGAGTTTCTTTCGGTGTCCTGGCCAATAATCCCTAAATAAAATTGGTCATTCACTTCATGGTTGTTTGTGGGACATTCCTAAATACAAAGTGGTTTCTGAGTTTGCCTATAAAATACACTGTCACTACACTTTAAAGCGTATCATGGGAAGTACTTTGAGACAACCACCTGACAAGAAAGATACAATATCAATTGTAAGGATTATTAGCAGTAGAGTTACTGTTCAGTTCACCTTGTAAGTGGATTGAATGCTGGACTGCTTTAGTAATATCCCTTTTGATTATAAAAATGTCTTGTCACCTGGAGTTAATTACACTAATTTTATACAAGTTGGTTGTACAGAAACATTAATAATAAAGTCTTTAGTTTTAAAGATTAATGACAGTCATCTGTGCAAATCATAACACCTCGATTGATCACAATCTTCTTACAATAAAGTAGTTTTTGGAGAATTTGAGAAATTACTTTTGTTTGACTGGGATAGTAGAGAGAATAAGTAAGGAGGCTGCGTGAGGTAATTATCATATATTGTTCTTAAAAGTGCAGCGAAGTAAGAGGAATTATTCACCGCACCAGCCCAGCAAGACCATTAACATGGCAGCTTGCAGCCGGGGGACAGAGTGTGAATTGAGATTGATGTTTATAGAGATAGGTGCAGAGGAGATGACAAATACTCTAGGGTACAGGATTTTTCTGGGCTCCTGGGGCTTGGGAAGTAAAGTATATACAGGTTTAAATAGCCACAATATGGGGGTGGATGCATCTTGTAGTCCGACTTGATTAGCTTTGGGGATTGGGGAGTGTTTATGCAGAACTTCTCCACAGGAGATGGAATGACTGGGTGAGTCCAGGTTTGGAGCAGTTGTACATGCTCTGCGGAGGTGCATTTTTCACAATGCTTTGGAAAATTAGCTTTCTTGATTTGCTGAAGAGCTTTATCTCTATGAAAATATTGTCAGAAGAGTGCAATTCCATAAGAATATATGAAAGATCTACAGTGAGAATAGGTTCTTCCTTCTGTACATTATGGCATCCAAGCTTGTTTTGAAAGCCCCAATGTGTTGGCCTCCAGTGCCTTGCTTGGTGCATTATTCTAAATATTTATCACCGTGTAAAGAGTTTTTTCTTGATATCTATTCTACATTTCCTTTTCGCTTATTTAACTGGTAATGAAGATGACAGTGATGTAGTCTTGCAACCCTGGTCTGCTATTCTACTGTTTATAGTTTATATCATTGCAATACCACTCAGCACATTCCGTTGTCAATGGGAATTGAATGCTCATTCTCAATGCACTTTTTGTAAAAGCATGTAGAGTGTTCCTGTGTGTATTAACAATGCAGTTGGCTGTAAGTAGTTTGTGTATAACAGACACAGTATCACTGAATGTTATGAGATGCGAGTGTGTGTGCGTGTGGATGAGAATGCCCGAGAACAAGTGTGTGCACATGAGTGAGTATGTAATTGTTAGCTTCCCTACGTCAATTTTTAAATGTCCTCAGTAGAAATTTGCGTCTCCCAGCAGGAAAAGACAATTGAAGCCATTCCTCGTAGATTGCTGCTATTTGGCATCAGAATGGCACTGGAGAGTGAGGCAACCTGTGTGAGACAGAGAAGCCCAGCCTAGAAGTGGGGTGAAGAGAGTGTGGAGGGAGGTGGTAATTGTTTTACCAAAATGAAGGAATTCATACATGCAATCAGCTTTCTTGTTGTGAACTTCAATGAAGTTATGAGATATCTTATAAATCCTCAAAGCCTCATTGAACAAAACATTCAAGCTTCAGCTCTGATAAACTGCAATGTCCGTTGCCATGTGTTATGTATCACAGGATTAGTGAGGCTACTTTCTGAAGGGATACCAGTTCAGCTGTTCCCACACTTGGGTTCCTTGTGTTAAGTAATAGTATTTATTACATTTTTGTCAAAATGCTTTTGACAAGATGGAATCTGAAATACTTTGTGTTTCTGAGTTGTAATTCCACTAGCTACTGGTCAGTTTGTTGTTTTAACCAATATTTTGTTTTGTTTGTTTGTGAGCTAATGTTATTATTGATTGTGAAACAGGTATAAATGTCTATTACCAATGGGAAAGGGTTTCATCCAAAACGAGTGGATTGTGTGTGTGGGATCAGACAAGATGTAAGCATGCATTTAGGGATAGCTTTATAATTTCGCTGGGATTTTTTATAAATACATTATCTCATGTGATACAACAGCTACAACAACTTGCATATAGCACCCTCCACCGAGGGTAGCATTTATATATTTACATATGTATATTAAATATACATTTGATGGATCCTAATATTTCATTGAAGTCCTGCATTAGTAAGGATTTTTATGGCATCATTAGTTATAAAATAAGATTCTTCTAGACTTCAGTTGTCAAGTTAACAACATCAAATCATTCAGAGATTTCAGTTTGTGTGTTCAAGCCTTTCTTGAGTAAAAACATAAACAAATTTTAAATTTTCATTCTACATAATACAGTATATTTTAAATTGATCACAAATTGAAGTCTGTATCCAATGTCCAATCACATGTTGTGTTGTGCATCAATTCAACTGTAATTTTGGCATTGTATCCCTGAATTCTCCCTACCTGTGTATGTCACACAACATTGGCTTCAAGGCAGGTGTGCTTTAGGTTGGAGCAAACTTCTGTGGAAAGCAAGAGATATAGAAACTGGCCATAAATGTGGAATAGTCTACCCAATGAGAATTAAAGAAGGAATTGGATAGCTATTTGGTTAAGAATTAAAATACTGTCACTACACTTTACAGTGAAATCCTGTGAGACACTTTGAGGTATTTTGACGACATGATAAGGCGCTACATCAAATGCCAGGATTATAGTTATGAATTAGCTGGAAGCTGTGTGCTTCTCCTTCTTTCCCTTATCTACTGGAGATACTGTAGTATTCATCTCGCACTTAAAATTGCTTTTTCTCCTTCAATCTTGCGCCTCTTTCTGCAGTACAGTTCAAGGATGCCTGGATTCCACATAGTGGCGGAGCTGGGTTTTGTAACTGTCCAGGGGGGGAGGCGAAGGGTCATTAGTGCCCACCACCCCTCTCCACCATCAATTACCTCTGCCACTGATTCCACATCCCAATTATTGTTGAATAGACCTCTGACTTTGTGATGGAAATTGAGCAGGCAGTTTCTGTTCAAAGCTGAATAGCAGCAAGTTGGCAATCTGATTCAATGAGCAAGGGGAGAGCCAGGCAGATTGTCCAATAATTCCTCACAGAAGATCAGAACCCAGGCATTTCTCCTGTTGCAAAATGAATGACACATTCATTATAAGTCGATTTGGTGTCTGGATTTCATTTTTGACGGAAAGGTGAAAAAGACATTAGTGAGGTAGGGTTGGTGTTTAGAAGAGTAGCCAAATGACTCCAATAATCTGTTAGTGACAATGTTCATCATCAAGTGGCGTGCGTTCCCAGCAATCTGTTAGTAAGGCTGCTCACCGGGGCAGTGCGATATGTCTCCAGGAATCTGTTCAGAGATGCCCGTGACAGTCTTTGTATTTTTGAATTCTCTTGTTTTCTTTCCCTTGTTTTTCCTCGCTTTCTTTCTAGGAGCCAACACAAAGAAACAAAGTGACGATTTAGCCAATAATGACGGGGATGAAGACGAAGGTATTTTTCCGGTGCTCGCAGCTGGTGCATGAATGCAGACTGAAATTGTTTTAAGTTTCCTTTTCTCTTGAGCAGTTTTTCAGAACTCAATGTGCACGTCTCCCTCACACATCTGGTTAATCCTCCAGCAATTTGTTTTCTCATTTTTGAAACGGTGCACACATGTATCTGAGCAACAGTGTGATGATTTCACTCTGTGTGTGTTGTGCTTATGTGTATGCATATGTTTCTGTTTGTTTGTGTGAGTGAGTGTGTTTTTTGTTTGTGAGATTATGACTTCTAGAAAAGTAGCATCACAAGGTGTGTTTTTTGAGAAGTGTAGAAAATATAGTGGCAATTTGAACAGATCAAAACATATTCTGTTTCCATAGGATCACTGTGCCAATCATTAGTTACCCCTACTTCAGCAGTTACATGGTTTGTGGCTGTTCCCATGGCATTGTTGCTTAGTAATCAGTTAACTAAGAGATGCAAAAGCGTCCCCCCCATCCCCCCACACCCCTGCCCTTGGAAATGTGCGCTGTCTATCCTCCACACCCTTCTAGAGGCAGTGCTGAAATTGGATATTAGCAGCTTGAGGAGTGGGGGCTATGGTCTGACACTTGTGGCTCTGGTGGTAATCTGCCACTTTCTTTTTGAAGTTCATTTTAATTCCTCTTTTCAGGAAGGCAGTTGGAATACCCAGTTAATTCCTCATCCAAGATGTTGAGCTGGGTTGTGACGGTTGGAACAGGAATATTGAATTCCTTGCTATCAGTGTTCTTCTGGCCATAGTCTATCTGAAACAATTTCTAGACTGAAGAGCAAATCTCAAAGTCCCTGGTTCTTAATTTGTATTATATCAGGTGCCAAGAGTGACTTTCATCACAAATCCTTTCACTGTGAAATCCCATGAGTGTAAGCACAATGCTGTTCCCTCCTGACTCCTGGGGACTCAGTGTCTATGTTGAGTTTAACTTGTAAATTTGGAATCCGTGTGATGCCTTGGCGTGTGAGTGTCTGAGTATATGCATGTGGTGTCACAGCTCACAGTAGGGCACATTGTGATGCTACATCTGCTCGTGGCTTCTTCCCTGAAGGTGCCGGTAGAGAAGCAGCATGAGTCACTGTTCCCTCCTTTCACTTGGCTTGTATGAATTGTTAGCTGCTGGGGTTAATCCATGAGTTTGCACGTTCTCACACTGAATGCTATGGCTTTATGATAGACAAAGAAAGCAATGGCTACTTCATGGAGCACTCCAATTGGGGTGAATCCCACCCTTTTAGCAGTAGATGTGAGCGCCATGGGCTTGGAGCTGGCTACATTCAGCATGTTTTCATTTGAGATTCTTAATGAAAGACCGGAAAATACAACCACAACAAATTACATTTATGTAGCGCCTTTCACGTCGGGAGGACGCCCAAGGCGCTGAACAGTGCTTGAAAATAGCTTCAAAGCCTGGTAGTTACCGGCTGAACACTAACCAGTTGTATTAGGGAAAGGCCAGCAGACCAAGGAAAAAAAATTCAAAATATAATTTCACTGAAGTTTTCAAAAGAGGGGGGGAGAGACTAAGAACTCTTTTCACAATTATGCTTAAGACGAGTGTTTCACTGCAGATGGTGAGTTCTGTATATTGACTAGTGTGTCAGTCCCATCACTCTGTGGCTCAGGGTACATGCGATTCACTGACATCTGGCACATGAAATTCATTGACATCTGGGAGATGGGAACCACTGTCATCTTCTGGAGCTGGGGGGAGATGATCAATGGCTGTCATGAGTTGTCCCACACAGGAGATGTGGTCATGTACGGCTCTGTCCACCCAACCACTGATTGGTAAATATAGCTGATTGACTGCATAGCAATGAAAGTCAGGTAAGATCAGGTGGTAGGACTGGTTGTTTGCAGGGACAGACAGCTGTTCTGTCTGAAAATGGTCAATGGCAACAGGAGGAGATTGATTGCAAGATCAAGCTTGATATTTCTTGTTAATGTTAGTTATATTGACATTTGTAGACAATACCCAACCTGGGGACCTCTGCTGAATCTCCAGTGGCACAAGTGACTGGCCTGAGTATTACATCAGATTAAATACAATAATCTCCTCACAAAGCATTGATTGTAAGGGCCACCTCCATTCTCCTCGAGAGGATAATGTTTCTTTAGATATTAGAACTGGTTGTGTCATAATTACCACAATAAGATGGTTATAAAATCAGTATGATTCCAGAATTTGTTATCCTTCTGCCTGTGGTCGGAATCCCAGATCCGTCTGTTCAGCTGTTGTATGAACAGGTAAGAGACCAGTGTAGCTCACAACACAACGGCTCTTCCAGGTAGGTAACAGCCCCTCATGTCCTGAAATGGCAAGAGCCATCTGATAACCACAGCCTGACACCATAATCTCTTTTTACCCTCGCTCACGCTATTCATTAACATTTGATGTGTTACTTCCATCCACTAGATGCTTCATATTGCCAGTTGCTGACTCCACCCAACTGTGTACACCCCTTCTCCTCCTCTTCCTCCTTCCCTCTACCCAATTGCCGCCCACATGTTTTATGTTTATATTTTTGTGTTAAATGTCTGTCTTGGGATTGTAAATAAACTGCAACCTGCATATTTGCACCACTGTCAGGTACCAGCGAGACCGTGATACTCATGGATACAGCTGCATAAACTGTAACATTCCAGATGGAGAGTATCAATCTCTTCATTGGGAAGATAATCCCACCAATGTCTCCCACCACAAATAAACTCATTGATATCCCAGTATCTTCCACCTTTGGACTGGTACAACAACAACAAAATTATATTTGTATAGTGCCTTTCACATCAACCTAACAATCAAACCAAGAACTGGGAGATAGTCTCCTAGCCAATTCCAATCATTTCTGTACAGTTTGTATTTAGCTCCCAATTACTTACTTCAATCCTGCTGGCCCTTGAGCGATGCTCTTTCACTAACTCAGCCGCTGATAACAAGCCTAGTTACTCCAATCCAGTGAAAATCATTCTATCCAACTCGGTAAGTGACACTAAACGCATCTGGGCCTCAGACATTGCTATAAATCTCCACACAGTATCTGCAGTGTGCTGGTACCTGTATCTCTGGTATGTTGATACCTATATCAGTGTGTTGGTACCTGTACTTGTGATATGTTGGGTGCCTGGCTTCTGGATGTGTGTGTGTGTGTTGAGTCCCTGGCTTCCGTGTGTGTCTGTGTATGTGTGTGTTGGGTGCCTGGCTTCTGGATGTGTGTGTGTGTGTGTTGAGTCCCTGGCTTCCGTGTGTGTCTGTGTATGTGTGTGTTGGGTGCCTGGCTTCTATGTGTGTGTGTGTGTATGTTGGGTGCCTGGCTTCTGTGTTTGTGTGTGTGTGTGTGTGTTGGGTGCCTGGCTTCTGGGTATGTGTGAGGGGCGACTGGCATCCGGTATGTTTGTTGAAGATACCTAGCATCTGGGGTGCTCATCTCCATTGCAAGAATCCTCTGAACAAGGTGACACTATATTTTCCTGATGCTTTCTTCCACACAGATATTCGTGCCAGTGGCCCAAAGCCGGTGATGGTGTATATCCATGGAGGCTCATACATGGAAGGGACAGGGAATATGATTGATGGCAGTGTCCTCGCCAGTTATGGGAATGTCATCGTCATCACACTCAACTACCGAGTGGGGGTTCTAGGTAAGAAACCCATGGCCAGCTTCCTTTAGCCATGATGGGAAATGTGTGATCTGCATGTTGCGTTCTTTTAGGAAAGAAGCTAAACATGACGTTTCACTTTTTTAACTTCTGTATTAATGATGGGGTTACTAGTTGTTGACACAGTGAAGAGGGAGCTTTAATTTGTATCAGTCCTGTTCTCTCTCTGACCTGGGAGAGCTAGATTACGTTTCACCCACAACTATACAGTCGATTCACTTTACAGTATATTCTGTGAAGCGCTTTGAGACGTCCGAAGACATGAAAACAAATACAAGGCTTATTATTATTTTATTATAGATTGGGTTAGTGTAGAAGATGGCTTTCCTATATATAATGCAGCGCAGGAGGAGGCCATTCATCTCTCAAGTGCCAAAAAGTCCTTATTGTAATACAATGACCAGAATTGTACACCGTCTTCCAGGTGGAACCAATCTAGTACCCTGATCAAGTTCCTTATCATTTCTTTGACTTGTGCTCTGCCTTTATCCCAAGATTCTGATGGTTTCTTTATTGCTGTTGTCAGACTGCTGATGGTTTCAATGCTCTATCTACCAATATCTCCAATCTTTCTACTGTGTCATGCCCTCCAGACTAATGCTGTTTATTTCCTTGTTTATTCTTTTTCCCAACCTCATCACTTTGCATTTATCCACATTAAATGATAGTTAGCACTTGACAACCCAGTTCCCTAATTTTCCGGATTCCTCAGTATTTGGTCAGCTGTTCCATGTTATTAGCAACTCATCAGCATAGCTGATCTCTGCTTCATCATTTATGTATATAGCATCAGTTTGAGCATTGAACCCTTAGGTCGAATTTAGTTACCTCTGTCCTTGCAGATCCAACTCCAATACCACAATTACTCATTGCTTTCTATGATCCAGCAACCAATTTCCAGTTCACTTCAGAAGCCGTATGGCTGAGTTGCACTAAAATTCATTGAGTGTGTGATAATTATACTTATTAGAGTGGATGAGAGAATGCGAAAGTTACACAGTGTAACCATGATAGTTAAGAATGGAAAAGATGTGTGAGTTAGGTAATATTAGAGTTCTGGAAAATGCGGTTGCTGTGAATAGTTATAGTGCGTGTGAATCTGATTCTGAAAGTAATGAAATGAGATCTGAGAGCATGTGGCAGAAGCATCATCTGATCTAATCTGTCAGCGAGACACTGCATGGTCCTCAGTTTATCCATCTCCCGTTGGGCTTGTTTGGGCAGTTGTTTGATTTATTACTATTTGTATATCCATTACAAGGTAGTTTATAGATTTTTTTTATATACACAATTGTAGATAATTAGAGTTGATGGGATTCAGGCATCCGTACATTTATCATTCCTGCAGTTTGGAGCCACATGTTGGGAAGGTGGTGGGTTTCAGAGAATGATCCACTGACAGCTCCACAAGCTGGGTTTTGAGCAAGGGGCAGCATGGGGTCTTTGCCCAGATGACTGTGGACATTAATTGCTAAAGTAAAAGTATTTGTGGTCTGTATTCAGGGAATAGGTGCCATTTGTACACAGATTTAGACCCTTACCTGTGTAAAGAGTTAATGGTTCAAGTAAGAACTAGAATAAAATTAGTATAGCTAGAGAACAAGAATACTGGTTGATAACAGGATTATAAATAAGTACTAATCAAGAAGATTCCTAAGATGCTATTATCAACATTATGATTTTGTTGATTCGTTTCCCAAAATAGATACTTCCCATTTCTTTTCTCAGCACTAAACTGCATCTACCATCAATCTGTGTACACTGCTAACAGGTCAATGGCCTACCGGATTTCAGAGAATCAGAGAATTTTTCAGCACAGAAGAAAGCCTATGCTGGCTCTCTGTAACAGCATGCCTCTTCAGTCCCACTGCCTTGCCTTTTCCCCACATCTTTTATGTTTTTCAAGCACTGTATTTGGTGGTACTAAACTTTCTGTTTTTTTAAAAAAATCTCCTAACCTGTCTGTCTGTTTTATTTGGTAAAGATTGCTCATTCACTGACCATGGGAAATAGTAATCCCTATTTACCTCACCAAGCCATTTATAATTTTCAACACCTATGAGGTTTCCCAACATTCCTATAATAATGAAAATTTATGAATAATCCGTAATACTAATTTGACGCTACCCCATGTGAAGGTCACTATATAAATGCAAGTTGTTGTTGATTGAGGATCAGTGTCCTATTCTTACCGTGTCCCATTCTTCTTTTTTTGAGTGCTCTGAGTAGTTCAGAGAAGCTAACAAGTTGGGTGACTGCCTGGGATTTGTCACGTAATTGGGATTGATTCTGCTCTGTGCATTCTGCCTTCATGATGTTTTGAAATGGCAACTGCTCCTGCAGGCACAGATCTCTTGTCATTCTTGATGCAATATGGGACAGTCGGAGTGTGACTATAAGGATGCTTTTGGTGTATTGTGTGAGTGTAAACACGTGTAGCCAGGATGACTAGCATTGTCAGCTTTCCTGACATCATCCCATGTTTTCCCTGGATGTGATTCTCCAACCAAAGAGCTGAATATTTCTTGAGTGAGGAAAGTGTCTGGTCTTGCACCACTAAATATAGGTGAACAACTTTACAGCCTCTGTGATCTTAAACTAGGCTTCCCAGCACTGAAGATATCAGGTGTCTTGTCCTGCCTTTACCCCTGTCTGCTGCACTGAGTAGGCTTTCCAATAGAGAGGAAACCACTCTGCAGAAGAGATGTCATCAGCAAGTGAACAAATCTCTTGTGATGACAACGAGCAGCCAATTGCTGAAGGTCATTAAAAGTGTGACTGAGTGTTGCTAGCCAATGAATCCCACAAATGTGTTGCGATAAAAAGACAAACTCCCATTCATCCCATTTAACCAGTTCAGTGATTTTGGCAGAAGATGGCAACTACTCATTCACGTGGCTTCCGGGCTGTGACCCTGGCAGGGTAGCTGCCTTACTTATTGGCTCTGGCTTGGATTCCTTCCTGCAATGCTTGCTGCTGCCTTTCAGTTACAATGAAAGGTCAGAATCAAGATTTTTTTCCATAGAATAAGCCAATAAAGTCTCAGCATGCAGACTGCCCTGCCACTCCGTAACTTCTCTCAGCCTCAGTGATCAATTCCATCAATTAAAGGTAGAATGGATGTGGCAGGTCTCCATTCACATGTAATAACCTGTCACTTAGAAATTAATAGATATTTTAATAACTGGGATTCCAGTTGCAACCGATTTAGATAAAACAACAAAAACACTGTACTCAGTAACAATAAATCTGAAGTGATTTACTTCTCCACTCAAAAGGCTGCTTTATTCAAACAATTGTATCTCACTCACTGAACAGTGCACTGATATTGAATCCTAATACCACTCACTGAGCCACACCTGCATCCCAGTGTCCACTCATTGAGACTGCCGCCATCTCATCTAGATTTTCTTCAGATGAGATGTTAAACTGCCTGTTCAGGTAGATGCTAAAGATCCCATGGCACTATTCAAAAAGAGAACGGGATTTCTCTTGGTGCCTTGGCCAACAGTTCTCCAGATTAAAAAATTGGACATTCGCCTCATGGCTGTTTGGTGAAATTGGTGTATGCAAATTGGCTGCAGGTTTTCCTACAAGTAACACCGTCAATATATTTTACATTAAATCTTTTGAAGTGTTTTGAGATGTTTCAACAATGTGATATGGCACTATACCAAATGCAAGGATTAATATTTATTGTTCCTGCATTTTTGTAGACATTTACTTAGCAGAATCTCAGACGAGATGTAAAACCAATGGAGAGCGAGTTATTGTGCATATAAATAAAAGAAAGGTAGATGGAAGGGAAAGCATGAGGAAGGCGGGAGCCTAGAGAACAATCGTCTGCCAGACAAACCTTTGCCTATATTCTGTGCGGGAATATGAGAGGTGCTAGAAGCTGCATTACTAATGTCCTGCAACAAGTATAATTAGTCATTTTTATTTCATGATATTTACAAAGCTTGCAAAGTCCTGCCTGGACCAAGACATTGTTAACACCACCAACACTTTGGTGGAGTTAAGTTCATTATTTTTCTCATGGATCTTGCTGATGCCCTTTCACAGACCATAGCATTGGAAGATGCACCCAGCCTCTGATGTATAGCTGGCAATTCACCACTAATTGGGTGAAGCTGCAATTTATGAAGCAGATGTTACAGTTACTGGGCTGAGGGTGTATCTATCATGTACCCAATTCTCTGGTTTGTTCTAGGTTTCCTAAGCACTGGGGATCAGGCTGCGAAGGGCAATTATGGGCTTCTGGATCAGATCCAAGCGCTGCGGTGGATCAGTGATAATATTGCCTTCTTTGGAGGAGATCCGATGCGGATTACAGTATTCGGATCTGGAATTGGAGGGTCCTGTGTCAGCCTCTTGACACTGTCCCACCATTCGGAAGGTAGGTACTTCATGTCAGAAATTAACTTGTGCAACTTTCCTCCTCTAACTTCCAATTCATAAGTGTTTCTGCAACTAGAGCCAGGCTTTCCTCTGAGTGCATGTATCTGATTTGAAGGGGTTACATTTTCTTCAGTGAGGTCAACGGATCAACTTGTGAGTGTGTGACCCAGTGTGTAGCTGAGTCACACAGTTCAGGAATATCCTCAATCAGTACTGATATGGTGGATCTCTCCAAGAGCAGGGATCAGTACTTGGATTCAGTGCCTCTGGTTTCGGGAGGACAAAATCATCCATGGTTCCTGATTGTCATTAGCAATTCCTTCTAGAAAATGCCAGAGCATGATCGGGCTGTTACACCCTCCTAGGTCGAATATAATCCTTGCATTTTTTTGATATAGCGCTTTCACGGTTTCTAGAATATTCTGCTGCTCCTTGCTGTCTGAGCTTATACATGAAACATCCCTTTGGTTAAGATACCTGGAGCAACCCAAAATACTCCACCTAAGAAAGCACTGATGAGGTCTTATCGTGGTGTTCTGTCTGCCAGGAACACCACTGCAGCTCACCCTGGTTTCTTTGTAAATTGACAAGTGATTATTAATTCTGTTTGAATGGTTTTATGAAGATTTGCCCTTTGCTCGTGTATTGAGCATCTCTTCAATGGCTAATTACACAGTAGCACATCCAGCTCAGAGGCTGTTAAAGCCAACCCTGCACTGGCAGGTTACTGCAGGACAGAGTCTGTCACACACACCAGCCTCTTGAACATGAACTGAGTGAGTCCTATAAGCTGTGATCATGTGTAGGTCCTGCTGCTTTATCACAGCTCTGTTTCCCATTAACCTTACTGGAGCGAGACAGAGTGATTGGTCTCAAGTAATCTACAGCCTTCCTCAACACAATGCAGAGACCCCTGAGCTCAGGTCACAGGCAGAGGCAGCCAATGACTGCACTAAACCTTATTTTGCAGCATAAACACCAGTTACTGAATTGCTCAGGACTGGTGTAATTACACACCTGGAGGTCAAACTGCATTCACCCCATTTAAAAAAATGTTGATGATTCGTGAAGTGTTCTATAAACTATAGGTTTTATTGATTTCTGTTTCGAGCTGTACTTTCTTTCTTCTGCGCTGATGCTTAATCTGCTGTGGCTGAGTCTGAATCATGCAGAGATGGAGTTGTGTGACTGTCAGAGAATGCTGCACATGCAGAGGTCTTATTGCATATACAGATCAGTTAAGTACCATTCATCAATAAGTCTAGACCATTGGACTGCACTGATGTGAGCTGTATCACATTCCTTGGACTCAGTCCCACTCGTATCTACTCCAAAATTCTCTCTTTTCACTTTCTCATTGCTTCCTGGCAGGGAATAAAACACAGCTGCCAGGAAGTGTGGGGGGGATTCAGGGAACAAGTCATCAGCCTAGGCAGTCAGAGGACATTTGCACAGCACTCTCCTTTGTGAAAGTGATTCTGTGGGTTTCTCCAGACACAGTTAGTGCAGCTGTAAGTTGTTAAAGCTTTCCCCAAATCCCAGACACATGGACCCAATCCCACACTCCCATAAAGTTATTTATTCTTGTCAGTTTTTCCCATTTCCCAACCGCAAATCAGAAACTCCCATGTAAATGGTGACCTGATGAGATATTCCTGTATCAGTGCATGAAGATGTGAAGATCCAGTGGTTGATTGAAGTCCTGGGCTACGAATGATTACATCATCTTAACGTTCCCCGTGAGTGCAGTCAACAGCTAGAATGGCATCCCAGGAACGATCGCTGAGGCCTGGTCTCTGAGAAACACCTCAATACTATAATGGGAAAAAGTAGGGTTGGGATTATGAAAGGATGAGATTAAACTTCATCCATAAACTTCTCATGAGTTCAGCCCCAGCACACATGCATGGAGCAGTTACATTATGTAATGTCAAATCATACAAAATAAGAGCTATCCCGTACACCTCATCTATGGCAATAGGGAGGGACAAGGTTACTTAATCTGTTAAGGCATATGCACAAGTGTAGATGGCAGGGCTCGGTTGTTGTCTGTTGCACTCACAGTCAGTGGGAGCTGTACCTCCTGAGCTGTACCTCTGTTTGCATTTCTTTCAGGTCTTTTCCAAAGGGCAATTATTCAGAGTGGCTCTGCTTTGTCAAGCTGGGCGGTAAATTATCAGCCAGCCAAGTACACCAGACTGCTGGCAGAGAAGGTGGGCTGTAACATGCTGGACACGCTGGACATGGTCGATTGTCTGAGACAGAAAACTTACAGGGAACTGGTGGAGCAGGACATTAAGCCAGCCCAATACCATGTGGCATTTGGACCTGTCATTGATGGCGATGTGATTCCTGATGACCCAGAAATTCTGATGGAGCAAGGAGAGTTCCTTAATTATGACATCATGTTAGGAGTCAACCAAGGAGAGGGATTGAAGTTTGTGGAATGGGTGGTGGACGCGGGAGATGGAATATCAGGCAGCGATTTCGATTTCACAGTTTCTAATTTTGTGGATAATCTGTACGGCTATCCTGAGGGCAAGGACACTTTACGTGAAACCATCAAATTCATGTACACAGACTGGGCAGACAGGGACAACCCAGAGACGCGACGCAAGACTCTGGTTGCTCTGTTCACTGACCACCAGTGGGTAGAACCGGCCGTGGTGACTGCAGACCTGCATGCCCGCTATGGCTCCCCCACGTACTTCTACGCCTTCTACCATCACTGCCAGAGTGATATGAAGCCTGCCTGGTCTGATGCCTCCCACGGAGATGAGGTGCCCTATGTCTTTGGGATTCCCATGGTCGGCCCCACAGACCTATTCCCCTGCAACTTCTCTAAGAATGATGTGATGCTCAGTGCTGTGGTCATGACCTATTGGACCAATTTTGCCAAGACCGGGTAAGAGGCGGGAGGAAGGGGGCTACAGTTTTAATAGTCAGCCTCTGAATCATTAGAAGTTCCAGCCCTGGTGCCAGTCACTGGGGAAAGCAGCCCCTCGCGGTTTTGAACCTAAGTTTTCAGAACCTCGGAGAGCCCTGGTTCTTCAGCGTCTAATAGGGCAGGTGTATGTATATAGCCCTGCTTTTATTTGCAAGATGGTTTTTTCAAAACATTTATCACTTTGTGAGAAAATATTTTTGAGCAAAGTATGTAGATGGGTTCAGACGTGTGCTTTGTAAAGCCTTCTTTAGTAAATGGATCTACTTGTGTCCAGTTCTGTCTCTAGATCTTTGCACAAAAAACATTCCTTTTTAGCTTTTCAGTCAACACATTGAACACAGATTTGTGCACTGGATCACAAAAGAGGCTCGGGTGAAGAAGGCTCTTAGACACATTTAATTTTGTCCTTCCAAAATGACTGCCCTTCCTTCATTCTATTACAACAGGGAGATGTTTATTAAATGAGTCCAATGTCCTGGGCCCTATTACCATTTCAGTTGTTAATTCCTCCCTTAGTTCAAATACTTCATGATGCCTATTCTAAACTTGACCTTCATGCACCTTCAACCTGTACCCTCTTGTCCTGCCTTAGTGTAACAAAAGTATTCTTCCTAATAAGCATCTTCTGTACCTCTATATACAGTGTAGCCCAGTTATAGCATGTTTTGTTTTGTCGCAGCACAAATTTAGTTATAGCGGTTATCACACTGTTGTTTTATGAACTCCCGGTCACGCTATATGCTTTCTGTTTTTTCACACCAAAATGGTTGACTTCTGGATCATTGGGTTGTCACCAGTAATACTTCCTGCTTGCATAACAAATTGTATTTATATGGTGCCTTTCATGTCAGGAGATGTTAATACTTAGGAATACTCAGGCAGTGATGTTGCTGGTGACTCAATGACCCTGAAATTAACCATGTTTTTTCAGCTGGCTCAGGGAAAATGCTCCTGTACATTGCAATAGAGAGGGTTTGGATTTTATGGATCTAAAACACTGTAGTAATGGGGATTTGCTATAAGGTTCTCTTTGAGATAATTTTCAGGCCGTAAATTGCCATAACATTTTTAATTTTTTCATAGCTTTTCCTTCCAACACTGGGATCAGCCTCATTGCTCTCCTTTGCACTACTTCACTTAGTACTTAAGTGCAGCCTGATCAGAACACAGAGCAAATTACAACTTGAGAATGACTTTTGGGAATCTAAACACAGCTGATTTGGCAATAGAGCTGAGAATTGTGTTTCCCTTATTTATTGTTTCCTCACAGTGCTTTGACAAGATGTGTGACTAGTAAATTAAGACTCTTTCAGCTTCTTCCTTGGAAAGTTCTATCCCATCTATTCAGTACGTGTGCCTATTTTACTTCCTAAATTCAGAACCTTTCATCTTTCTGTATTGAACTAATTTGCCAGTGATCAACCCGTGTGTTGAGCTCATTGGAAGTTCTTGGCTGACGTGGGAATTCGCCCTCCCATCCCCTGACTTAGTGCCGTCTGCTTAGTGTAACTACAGTACTTTGCACTAAGTCTGCAAAACCAGATCATTAATGTATATCAGAAATGGACCTGGATCTCCAATTTAATTCATCAGATATTCTATATTTTTGTAGTCTCTGTCCAACTAACATCAAAATCCCACTGCAGCATTCGCCATCTCAACAATTCTTCTGATTAATTGGTCATTCAAGTCCAGGCGGTTTGCGGGATCTAAATGGTGCAAATGGCTACCATTTGCCTACAAAAACCATCATTACACTTGACAGTCAGCAATTAAATTTGAAATACGAGAAGATTTCACTTGATGAGGCCCTATCAAACTACAAGTGTTAGACTGAGCTCAGTGCTCAATACAGATTTTGAGCTCACAACTTTCAAGGGCAGAGACCAGAATACCACTCACTAAACAAGCCTGGGAGATTAGATTAGGTCACTCCACTGTTTTCATTCCTGGGCACTACAACAAAACTGACTGGATCACCAGTAACAACTGCACTGAATGAATGGGAATGCTACTAACTGGTCCTGTCTTTCTTTCTCTCTTCAGTGACCCCAACAAGCCTGTGCCCCAAGACACCAAGTTCATCCACACCAAGGCAAACCGCTTTGAGGAGGTGGCTTGGTCCAAGTACAGCCCCGGAGACCAGCTGTACCTCCACATTGGCCTGAAGCCTCGGGTGCGAGAGCACTACCGAGCCACCAAGGTGGCCTTCTGGAAGCACCTAGTGCCTCACCTGTACAATCTGCATGATATGTTCCAATATACATCTACCACAACCAAGGTGCCTCAGCCCAACACTACCCCTATCTCTTATGACACCCGGCGCCCTAATGGCAACACATGGCCCTTCACCACCAAGCGGCCAAGGTCAGGCATGTCGCCTGCCTACAACTCCGAACAACAGGAGAAATGGGATTCAGAGCAGGACAGCGACTCACTGCTCATCGACAACCCCCGCGACTACTCCACCGAGCTCAGCGTGACCATTGCAGTTGGGGCTTCTCTGCTCTTCCTTAATGTTCTGGCCTTTGCTGCTCTCTACTACCGCAAGGACAAGCGACGAAGTGAGCCTCACCGCCAGCCCAGCCCTGAGCACAGCGCCAGCAACGACATGGCGCACGGCCAAGACGAGGAGATCATGTCCCTGCAGGTCAACCAGAGCCACGAATGTGACAGCCTAGCTGCTCTGCCCGACTACACACTGACTATGCGCCGCTCTCCTGACGACATCCCACTCATGACCCCCAACACCATCACTATGATCCCTAACTCACTGGTGCCCATGCAGGCACTGCACCCATACAACACCTTCGCCGCTGGTTTCAGCAGTGCCGGCCTGCCACACTCGCACTCCACCACCAGAGTATAATCCGGGCAGAGCCCAGCTCTGGGAGCCAAGGCACCGCGCAGCCTGGTGGGACGGGCACTCGCTCTGGCCCCCGCACCTGCTGCATTATACACCTCGGAGAGAAGAGGAACCTCTCTCTCTCTCTCTCCTGAGGAACTTCTGATACATTCTTCACGCCAGGCCTTCTTCAAAGTGACAACCTGAGGTTTTAATATCAATTTTTTTTATAAAAAAGGCAAAAAAAAGAGAAAATTAAGAAGTGCTTTTGTTGCTGGGCCGAGCAGCAGGCGATGGTGTTCATGTCTATCACAGTGTTCACATGCCTTAGACTCCCGGCTGCTGCGTCTATGTGTTTTATATCATTTAGTATGCCAGCACGGAGAGGGTTTCTCTCTCACACACACGCGCACACACTCGCACACAGACGGGCACGCAGACTGAATTACGATGCTTTTTATAGTCAGGAAACAGGGTTACTGGGCGCAGAGGGAGCTGCTGTCTGGTGTATGTAAGTCGAGTGTTTTTGCGCGATGGTTCTGAACTGGATTGACAGTGTAGAAGACACAGGATCTGCATTGCGAGCCCACTGCCACAGTCGGGCAGGATTCAGAATCCAATAAGAGCGGCAACAGAAGCTGGACTGGAGAAGCTGGGCTCACTGTCTGGATGGTCACTTTGTTGGTTGTCGGGATTGGCTTCTGCTGAAGGTGGCTCTCCTTCCTCCAGGAACACACGCGCTCTTTGTATTTTTCTGACTCGGACGATGATTTGTGAGAAAATCTAACAGCGAAACATTTTACAGATCTGTGACTTTTTTCGGGGGGGTGGGGGGAATGTTTGTCGAATTACAGCAAATAATACAGAATCGTGCAGTTCAGATCCCTTAACTTTTTATACACAGTGGGTTGTGTCATGTGCCAAATTAGAACCAGCAAAACTTCTTGGGGAGAGCGTGGGGAATTGTTTTTAACTGTGTTTGGTTTTGTACTTTGATAAGCATCTGTGTGCTGTGTGTTACTTTGCCTGTGTAGAGCCAGTTTGCAATAGAGTATCAGGGTGTACAAGGCTGCAGCTTTTGGGTACATTGCCCAGGGCACAGCTCTTGGCCTCAGATTGCGGAGACTGTCTGTGTGCTTTGTTCAGTCAGGGAGGTCTGTGTTGCTAATGGAATATTTTCTCCCCTTTTATTCACAATCATCATATCAGGTAACCACCAGGTAAGGTATGACATGAGACCTCGGATATTTACTCCCTCTCCAAGCCTACAGTCTGTCTGTTTTCCTATTGTATCTGTTCCTTTGTAGTTGTCTTTGTCTGATTATGGAAGGAAGGTGATGCTTGGGAACGATTGGTTTATCTCCTTCCACCAAAATATCGGGTGAGTCTTTGTGGATTTAGGGAACAGATTAACCAATGGTGTCTGCATTGCCTCTGTGTGATTCTGACTGTTTTAAAGAGGAGAACTATTCCATTGAGAGCCTCTTGCTTAACCCTTTGAGTACTGAAGCTGCCGACAGCTCCCAGATCCTTTTTCTAGTCTACAACTGTTGCTGCATTGCTCATTAAGCTTGTGCTCTGAGGGAGAGACTACGCAAAAGTTTGAAATATTATTTAGTCATATTATTCCCTGAGTGAAGTAAAACATGCCATGGACTTTTATTCAGAGCAAATGCCACAGTCTCAAAGGGTTGATGGGAGTCTCTGAGCACAAAGCAGGAGCAGCAGCACACATTCGGTCTGGATCTCTCTATAGATAGAGATTATTTTTTATATATATATAAAGGAGTAAATCAATCATATCCAATATAACTTTTATTGAAGTATCTTATTCACGCCATATCAGTCTGAGAGCATATGTTCAAATATACAGTGTTGATCATTGTGAGGATCTAAACGGCGGTGCCTGTCCCCTGTGCACCCTCACAAGTGAGTTTCAGTGAAACACTGACAACCAGCAAACATCAGTGTCCTGAAGCAGCTCCATAACATTCTTCATGATGTCATCACAGCGTTGTAACCGATGCCTCCTGCCATCATGAATGACCATGGCTGCTCTCCTTACACGTGTCCACGTTAATTAAAATAACAATATAATACATTTTAATACTAGTCTATGTATTGGATTTGTTCCCTATGGTATAACAAAATTGCGCATTTATGTGGGACCCTGAGTTTATACCACTGCTGAATGAGACCTGGAACCTTCTTGAGGTATCATCCTAATTGGTCTTTCATGGCCCTGGCATATATGGTGTGTTCCTGCGATTCCTGTCGTGTGTCCTCGGTTTTAACATCTTTGTTCTCTGCCCTGTCTTTCTTCACAAAAGATGTTCTCATTAATCTCTTAAAATGCAGCATTTCTGCATCAAAATAAAAGAGATAACGCTACTTCGAGAGCTTGCGTTTCTTCTCTAAGCTTCTCTCCAGTTTGGCAAATTCTGGCCTGCAATCAGAAACACCACCACCGTGCTTGAAGCTCTCCTCCTGCACTGGACGTGTTAGAAGGATGAAGGTCACAGAGAAATTAAATCACACACCGAGACTGAGTTGTCAATAATTCACATTATTTGTATTGATTGGCATGTTGGTGACCCTAACCGTAAGATGGTGTCAATTCAAGATTATCAGATGGAAAAAAGTTTTGAATTTACACAGTGAATATAGAATGCTTTACCACAAAAGACAGTTAGCAAAATCTACGGCAACAGTATATGGAACTGGATCAATAAAAGGAAAATAAAATTTGAGTCGAGTGGAATGGGTGAACCCAGATCCTCTCGCTTGCAAGTCAAGTTCTCTAACCACTACACTACAGGACTCCACAATATTCCCCTAGAAAGTACACAACCACTACATTACAGTAAATCCTATGCAGTGCTTTGAAACATCCTCCCGTCATGAAAGGTGCTGTATCAAATGCCTGGATTATTATAGATTCTCCCACCACATTAGACAGACCTCCACTCTTTCTCCCTGTAGTGCTAACGTTAACAACGGACCCCGGGTAAGAGCAGTGCCATCTCATTCCAATTTACAATTAGCCACGTCTTAGCCGACAGAACCACCAAAATGTTCTAGGCCAGTCCCAGTTGATTGTGAATGAGTTAACTGGTCATCTAGTTTGTGTTAAATGGGATTATGGGAATAGTAAAATTAGTTTATTAGTTCAAGGCATCTTTTTATATTTCTCATCCTATGCTGTCTAATAATTTTACTTCACAAGTAGCTATCTATCTCCTTAGACACCTCAATTGTTTCTGCATCTATTGCCTTCTGGAGCAGTGTTCCATATTCTTACAACCATATTTTCTTACAAATATTCCTTGGTTTTGATAACAAAAAGTAATTACGCCATATATTCCAATATACACCAAGTTGTATATTATTTCACCTGTTGTATTATCTTATAAAACAGTACAATTCTCTAAGGAGTGAAACACTGGGAAGTGTCCAACTGCGGTGCCACAACCTCTCAGCCTTGGAGCTCACAGCAGGTCTAACATACAGACTTGGTTTCCCGTTTATCAAACACTGAAATAAACCCACATTAACTAATATTGAGAGCCATTTCCCAGCCCCTCATTACGCAAAATATACAGTCAATTCATTTTACATTCTGTGAAGCCCTGAGACGCAACCATGTGATAAGGTGCTATATCAAATGTAAGTATTAATATTATAAGTCACTCGGACACCTGGGGGTCAGGTCTGAGAAACAGCGACTTCATTAATCCGCTGGGAGCTCCATCTGACTAATATCTTACACAATGTGTTGTATCAAAATAATCTAACAGCCAGTGTCGCCAGCAGTACTAATAAATCTTTGTGCCAGCCCTGTAAACGCCAATTACGAACAGGAAGCAAGCACAGCTACCACATAGTTATTAGATTTTTGTAATAAAGGAATAATACATTTGAAAGATCAAAGCTGCTACTCAGCCATAATTCAGGGGGGATCTCTGAGCAGACAATTCGATGAGTCTTTTGCTCTGCACAAAAAGGTGCCTGACCTTAATAATACAGCAGCAAACCAGCAAACCGGTGTGCAAAACACCGCAGCTTGTTAATAAATAACTGCCAGAACAGTTGCTGCAGGTGTTTCTATGCACTGCGAGTGCGCAGTGATGGAGCTAACATTGACAGTGACTGTTCTGACTCGGTGACCTTCACATAGAGAGAATTTAATGCAATAGGACAAGATGGAGACAAAAGCATTCAGGCTAACCACAGCCAGACAAAATGTAACATTGCCACATTATGTACCCACACCTGTATAATGAGAAATGGGTAGCAGTAGGGTTTTATGCTCTGATAATTGTGATGGAGCTGAAATCAATTCTTGAAAGCAGACAATTAGTGACATTCAGCATGGGTAAATATTTCACATGATATAATGATTATTTTAATTTATTGATGTAACACTTCCAACTGACGCCCCAATAGAAGAATTGAATCTAGATTTGTTTTTATGAGATTGTAATTGTTCATGTTTCCTAAAGCAAACTAGATATTAGCACCTAGAACAACTTATGGAAAACATCTGTAGGATACAGAGAATATGCTAATTTACATCAATGAGAGATAAATGACCATCCCTGTATGTCATTCCTTGTTCAGCAGAATGAAGACAATAAACTCATTCTCACTGGTCCAGACAGGTGAGGTGGATAGAGCAGTGACATAGTGGGATCATTGGACATGGAACCATCTATTGGATGAGACATTAACCTGAGGTGCTGCTTGCTTGTTTTCAGGTGGGTGTAAAGATCCTGTAACACGATTGGAGAATAGAAAATAGTTTCTCACAGTTAATTTGTATAAAAATATGACTGAAGTGTAAATTTCTTAAGTGAAGTACAAAGTACTGTATAACCCATAGAAAAGGGATAATTGATGAACATCTTTGCTGCCTCACATGTGGTAACTCAACCATCATAGCCTTTCTCTCTGACTGCCAACCTGACATGGATATTATCCATTATTAGAGACCGTGAAATACAGAACACATAGATTGTACAGATTGTAGTTGGTTAGCAGAAAAATTATAGGAGAAGGAAACTCCATCATGATGTTTACTGCCCTCAATGTAACTCTGGGTCTCACTCTCTCCTGGTCTCCTCTCTATCCTCTCTCTCTCTCCCGGTCTCCCTCTCTCTATTCTTTTCTCGCTCTCTCTCTCTTGGAGTCTCTTTTACTCTCTCCTGGTACGTGTGTGTGTGTGTGTGTCTCTCTCTCAGGGAGGCATCATTGCTGCTACGCTGTAACTCTACCCTCACCCGCCGCCCCCAAGCACCTGACGGGTTTGAGTTGTATTCCAGTATTAGACTCACTAAGGGCCAAACACTAACTGTTAGCTCATCTTATTAAGTGTTTGCAGTGCCCTGGGAGTGGGGTTAATGACCCAACTTTGATGGCAATGTGCTGGCGGCTGCAGTCTGAGAGTCCAGCCTGATTTATTGAGAAGCTAATGGAATGAATGCGGTCTATGAAAGACTCTAGAGTCCCTGGGGAGTGAGCCCACCACTAGGCGAGCTGATTGCTGCTGTCGCCATCAATAATACAGATGAGTGAGAGCAATAATCAGCACTGGGGTGGACTCCCTGACCTTCAGCACCATGTGAAGGGCAATTCATACTGCGCAGGGCAAGACAACCCCTACAATTTATTATCTTATCTGTGATTGACTTGTGTATACGATCAAATGCAGCCCATCTCCAGCTGTACCACCAATCCAGCTACAATACCCAAAGTCACAACAACAACAATTTGCATTTATACAGCATTTCTCACACAGGTTAGTGTCCCAGAGAGCTTAATGCGCCAATGCTGGTGCCTTAGGTAGGGAAGAGTTGGTGGGGGGTGGGCGGATATTTGGGGTCTGGATGAAACCTTATCT